TACAATATAGAAAGGGGTTAAGATCACCAGAAGTCCAAGTTAGGCTACCACACTAGGGGACGTTGGGGACTTACGGTATGAGTCAGTTAGTTAGGTTTAACCTCACTTTGAGCAGTGTTCCAGTTATATACCATGGCGTGTCAGCTTGATGTGAGAGGAAAGCCCGAAGTGGTGCATGTCTCGTTTACCACTGGTGAAACACAGGTATGGATCTGACAAACCCAGAAACAAACTAAGGGGACCCTGGATTCAAGCCCACAATTACAGATTTCTGGGGGCCCAAGGGACACAACTCTGCATGAGTTGCGTCCCCTTAGACGACAGGACTTCCTTGCCTCTTCATCAACTGAAAGATGGCTAAGACGGGTTTCACTTGTTTGCTCAACACCATTAGAAAATGAGAAAATCACAGCTATCTCACATGGCCATGTTTGTTTCTTGCTTACCTCTGCACACTATTCCAGCTACATGATGGCAGGGTATAAACAGTCTAGTCTGGATCAACCTGATTATTCATTCAGTTGCATTCAGAATGCTGTGGGCCTATACCTACTTGGAATCACAGTGATACGGCAACCTGTATATTATGAAATGTGGACCAGCCAAATGTGTGGCCTCATGTCTTAGTTTTCCACCCTAAGCGTCTCCAACCCAGTATCTCTCTTCCTAACTTCAGCATCGGTCAGTGTGAGATTCAGCCAAACCAAGAGGTGCGAAACTTGGGAGTTATTTTGATTCCTCACTGTCGATGGAGCCACAAATTAAAAACATCTGAAGAAGGGCGTACTACCACATTCGCAACATCGGCATGATTCGACGATACCTGGACGTCAAGACTACAGCATCTCTTATTCAGGCATATGTAACATCTCGTCTTGACTACTGTAATGCGCTTCTTGTGTGTCTCCCAAATTATCTTATACACAAGCTTCAGAAGGTGCAGAATACTGTGGTCTCTCAGTCAAAGAAATCAGACCACATTACTCCCGTTCTTCACTCACTTCATTGGCTTCCCGTCCACTACCGCATAAAATATAAAACTCTACTCCTTGTTTTCAAAAGGATACATGGTCTAGCTCCTCAGTACCTCTGTGATCTGTTCCACTGTTATACTCCTGTACGTTCCCTCCGATCAAATGACCAGTGTCTTTTGACAATTCCTGTGACTAGGACAAAAACATATGGTGACAGGTCACTCGAGACGACTGGCCCTCATCTCTGGAACAATCTTCCATCTCACCTCAGAACACAACCAGATTTAGCTGTTTTTAAATCAAATCTAAAGACGTGTCTCTTTGCTGAAGCACTTGAACTCTATGTGATATCTAGACCATCTTAGAGCCAAAGCGCCTTTGAGCGGTTTACGGATATTGGCGCTATACAAGTACATGTATTTGTATGTATGTATGTATGTATGTGTGTGTGTGTGTGTGTGTGTGTGTCCCTATAGGGAGACAGAAATCAGCCACGTCCAACATTCAGACCTACAGGTACCAGTTTTGTCAGCTCTTGACAACCATGAGTGAGTGAGTGTCTGAGTGTGTGAGTGAGTGAGTGAGTGTGAGTGAGTGAAAGAGTAAGAGTGCGAGAGAAAATGAGTGACTGACTGAGTGAGTGAGTAGCAATATTCCAGCAGTGTCACAGAAATGGGCTTCACACATAATACCCAAGTTTGGAAACGAACCTGGGTCTTCGGCATGACAAATGAACACTTTATCTACTAGGCTACCCCACCACCAGCGACAACCATGACATACTGGCAACCGATTCTGGCATGGAAACCACTTAGAGTTTCCAGTTTTCCCTTCCAAAGAAGACCTTCCCTGAGTGTCTGCCTGAAGAGTGGAAGGATGCTGGATTGATCCATGGCTGTGTCACACAAATGTTGCTAAAAGTTGCTCTTGATGTTACCCTGACATTTGGCATTAAGAAGATAACACAAGGACTTATTAAGGACTGTTAAACAAGGTGTTGACAACAAAGAGTTTTATTGTCCAGGATCTTGTTATACAAACGTGTCAGAATATCAATCCAACGGGTATCAAACGTAAACAGTTTACCAAACAGATCAGAATGTATGCACATTTATACAAATTCTCAGCAAATTACATATATACATAGCTGTACAAAATACAAATATTCACAATAAATTAACATTATATACAGCTATTCAGCAACGACTATAAAACACTGACGCTCCAGAGGTATGGCAAACAATGACTCAAAGGCATCAACATCTACACTTTCAAACAGAAATAATAAGATTTGTGTGAAGGAAATGAAATAAAAACTACAGACATCTTTTATGTTAAAGCGGTATAGCATATTGATCATATATTGTGAAGATATATTGCAAAGTGAACATCAAGCATTATAAAACAAAAGCTGATCTGTCAGAATTAGACCACCAACAGATTTAACTGACTGAAAACAAAATGTGGAGAAAAATCAAAGTTTTCTCATGTCAGAGAAATCAGATAGGGTTCTTTGCTGCATACATTGTTGAGTTTTATGACTCAGTTCAAAGATAGTTTATATGACACCTATGAAAGCTTTCTTTATAAGCCTAATAAAAAATAACGAGATGTGAAGCTAGTTGATCTGTCATGGCAGATTGATATTGCCATAACATACAGACTTCCAATTATTGTTTTTACATTAACTAGTTTTAAGTAGCCTTATCTATGGAGCCATGTAAAGAAAGTTGTAACAACTGTGGTTTTATATTGTTATTAAGTACACAATACGTTCACTGAAGGTGATGATGCTCTGATATATTAGGATGGTTTAATATCAAATTACATTCAGGATGAAACTTTAACATCCCACTGCCCATGGACAACCATGAAGGATAGTCAAGAGGTGATGACACACTCTTCTCTGCTTGATTGTCATTTGGAGTGAAATAATGGTGAATAAAAAGCAATATAAATGTATATTACATCATAGTCAACAGGAAGATGCTTCAACACAGGTTAATCTGGTCCCCAGATGCTTCAACACAGGTTAATCTGGTCCCCAGATGAACATTCAACCCAAGAGTGGGGGAATGCTACATTTTCAAAGCATCTGGAAAGGGAGACGTTTATCATTTTGATGTGAGGTTTACATGATACAGACCTTTTAAATTGGGTAAGGGGCCAATTACACAACACAAAACTGACATTGCAAACTCTGACGTTTACACAGTTTGGCCCTCCCACTATGAAGATTCATACCCACATAAAGCCACAAAAAATGAATATTCTTAAACATTGTTGGTTTACATAGTTTTCATAAATTATGACACATCAATCCATACAGTTCCTATTCACTGAAAGATGCATCTGTCCGTGCCTCCACTTCTATAAACGACGATGACTTCAAAAATGATGCAATTCATACAACACACTTATGCAGCATGACTATTTTTCCAACAGAAGTTCACTTACTGTGACAATTGTCTAGTTATCATGATGAAACAAGAACAAAGCCCTAACAGTGGTGCATGGTAATATGGCACTGCGGTAACATTTTTACACTGACAAACACGAGCACGTCAAGCACTATCAGAAACAATGTTTACACCTGCAACAGCTTGGTACAAATGTACAAGATTTCACTCAATATAGTTACACAATATCATAAAGCACCATAATATAAGTCAGACATGTGATTCCTGCCATTCTGTGTGGAAGAAACACTCTGATTACTGTGGGCAGTTTACTGCAAACCCTGATTTGGTTGTTTACCAAACCCTGGAGAGCTGTTTACAACAGATCCATGAGAGCTGTTTATAACAGACCCATGAGAGCTGTTTACAACAGATCCATGAGAGCTGTTTATAACAGACCCATGAGAGCTGTTTACAACAGATCCATGAGAGCTGTTTACAACAGATCCATGAGAGCTGTTTACAACAGACCCATGAGAGCAGTTTACAACAGACCCATGAGAGCTGTTTACAACAGATCCATGAGAGCTGATCCAACTGAACTGTTAACCCAGTCCCAGTTCAGATTTCAATGGTTTGCATGAAACATGGACATCACATTTTCATGTCTGATTTTGAAGTAAATTCAGAGAAACCTTGTTCTTTCTTATTGACTTCTAAACCACCGGAATGCAGAGAGAAAGGAGACTAGCTTGCACAGAATCTAAATTAAGTCTTAACTTAACAACATGAGGAGATAGCATGCATCATCTAAATAAGATTATTTTGATTTGTTTTGTAAAAGCAATCTGCATTTGATTTAACTACACTGCTGACGATCTACAAGACAGTTTCAGTAGTATTCATAACACACAGAAGTAAGAGAGAGCTGGCATTCACCACTGTAATGAACCCTCACCAGGTATGAAGAGGGCAGACCAAGGATCATTACCAGGTTGAAAACCAAAAACCAGCAGTTCCTGGTGAACAAGGGGCATAACTCTTCAAAGTATCAGCTGCATGTGAGTCCATCCACCCTCCATACAGACTAGTTTGATGCTGGCATGCTTAATATTAACCCACATCGTTTAAGGGGTTACATTTTCCAAAAATTAGACCAGGCTCATTCACTGACAAAATGAGATATTGAAATGCTTGCATTTGTTTATGTCAATCCAAATTGTTCAAAACCTGTGTATATGTCAAATAACATCATCTACTGGTCCCTGCTGACACACGGTCATGTGTGGTGGGTTATTGGTCGGTATCATTAAGCTATCGTGGGTGTTATGGGAGTTTAGACAATTGCATCATTGCACAGCATACATGTAGAATATGAAATGATGGAATTCATGACAAAGTCCACTAGCCATTTTGTAACAGAGAATTCATTCCCTCTGGTAATTCATCCGTTAGAATAATGCCCTTCGGTTATTGTTTCCATTCGAAAACGTCATCTGAATTATCTATTCCATGCCTAGGCAAGAGAATCGTACACTTAGTATATATTTTTCCAACCCAGAAACATTTACAGGCGGAATGAATTATCCTTTACAATTTCCCCAGACCCATGGGCTGTGATCACATGTCTGACAGTTGACTGACAGCGTCTATTTCTTCCTCATATCAGCGACAACGACTTCCTTGTTCTCCAAGATCTTCACATGGGGACTGGACTGAAAACACGAAACAGTGAGTGAGTTGGGTTTAAATCCACTTCTTAAGTATTTAATATGTCACTGTATGCCAGATTAGAGGGTACTGAAAGCCTGGAACAATGTAGTTCTTTGACGTTTAATGACATTCGACACTCGAGCTAGAGTACGGAGCTGACAAATCTAAAAACAATCGATGCAAATCTGGGATTCAAACCCACAATCGATGGTATCTGGCACTCCTACAGGGTAATTACAGCAGAAAACTGCTCAGCATGTAACTATCAGCTAAGTCATTAATTTAAGTATTAAACTAAATAAGCTGAAATTATATGTCTGAACATAAAGGGTACTCTCCACCCTAAAAAAAAGCAACTGCATGCATGAAAATAATTGATATCATTGTCTTCAATGAACTTATTGTTACTATTTACTTGTCTAAAAATATACCCCTGAAGTAGATATGTAGTTAAAACTTTTATAAAAGATAAAAACCGAGCATTTCTGGATAAATGCAATGTTTTATACTTACCTGATGTTACACAGTGCTCAAGCTTCACTACCTTAACCTAACAGACATCACTTTAATAGACAGACAGTAGAAAACAGACTGATATCTATGTCGTACTACCCCAGAGTTATCTACCTTGGCTGTGCAACCTCATATTCCTCAAATTCGGACCATGGTCCTGACGTCACTTGTGTGCTGATGTAAGCTTCCCAACCTTATGGTGAAGCCTCTACGTATAGATACAGGTCATAAAACGGCTGTTCTAAAGTAGTTCCTCCACAGATGTTCGACTTGACAGTATACAACATATGATTGGAACTGTCTGTCAGGTTAAGGCAGGGCAGGTAAAGCACTGTGTAACGTAACATAAGGTAAGGTAAGACTTGGAGGAATAACACCATTAAACTACAGTGCCAATAACAATTCTGTCAGGGCTGGTCAGACTTCACACATTCAATCTGACCACAATAATAGGATCTGAACGAGCATATATCTTGAATCCCGTGAAGATCCAGGTTAGAATTGATCTTCAGTAACCCATGCTTGTTGTAAGAGGCATCTAACTGGATCGAATGGTCAGGCTCACTGATTTGGTTGACACATGTCATCATATCTAAGCATAGATCGATGCTCATGCAATTGATCACTAGATTGTCTGGTCCAGACTCGACTATTTACAGACCGCCGCCATGTAGATGGAATATTGCGGAGTGCGGCATAAAACTAAGCTCACTCACTCACTCACTCACTATATCAAGTTCATCTGGGTAATGGAGACTAAGATCATGGCATCAAGTGGAGCAGGGAGACTTCATATTCAAACACTACATGACAAGACATAGCTCCTACCAACTTACTTCAAACAGTGGAGGCTCTTTGGTGTGATAGTGGAAGCCTGGTTGACTGCAGCTCCCTATTTCTGCGATGCCACGGTCATTTGTCAGCCGAAATATACCTGTCCTGTAACCACAACGATAAACTAGGTTCAACCACAAAAATACAAACAAAGTGAGTGTTTATGGTTTTACACCGTATTAGCAAAATTCCAGCAATATCCTAGCAGAGAACACCTGAAATGAGCTTCACATATTGTACCCATGTGGGGAATCGAACCAGGATCCTCAGTGTGACGAGCGGACGCTTAAACCATCAGGCCACCCCACTTACTCATTATATTTTGGGGAGCACACAATGGCGATGGCCTCAGGCAGCATGATCTGGTATGGGTAGTGACTGTGTAGATCAACACTGGACAGGAAAGCTGTTTGTGTTGGATGGGTCTGTAAATTAGGAAGATTCAATGAATGTTTGTACAGAGCTTTCAGTAACATTCCAACAATATCACAGGAGAGGACACCTGAACTGAATCCATAGATGTCAAGGAGGTCCTCTTGCTTAGAGCATACCATTCAGAATTTGAAGTTAACTATAGTAACTTGAACAAATCTAAGGTTTTAAACTTCTTTTAAGAAGTATATACTAAATACTAATTGCACATTTGTGGAAATTTCTTATAATATCTACCACAAATATTTACCTTATGCATTTACCTTATTACCACAAATTTGTACCTTATTTGTTATTGACCTATCATATAGTGTTACTTAAATGATGTATTTGCTTGTCTGACCAACAGGTCTGTATCTCTGTTTCTGCCACCGCAGACTACCTACATGTATCCAGCCGAGGTTGATGAGGTTGTATTTGTCTTGGTAGTCAATGAGGTCGATCTCATTCTCCATGTCGCAGCTGTCTGGCGTGCCGTGCTGCTGGGGGATGAACAGGTGGGTCACATGGAACTGGTTCTGGGCCTGGAGTCAAACAACATCTAATATTATATCGGCCCTCCCCAATTTATATCTGCCACGGCTTACTTTTTCAAACAAAACCTAGGAGTCGATTTTGATCCTTCACATAAACATCTTTGACTAGCATTAACTTGGACTTAATTGGCCACTTGTGTCTGACTGGCAGGATGTCACTGACATACAGGCCAATATTGATATTCAAGGCAGTATTAAATCCAGCTCACTCACTCATTAATTCAATCTGAAGTTCCTTACCAGAGTCCCAAACAGTATGCCTAATGTTTCGGTCTTCTTGTCAGTGTTGCTTTGAGCCATCTCAATGAACTTCCTCATGAGGTCTGTGGGTACTGTGATCTCCCTCAGACCTCCTGCCCCACCCCCACCTCCAATACTGGTGAAGTGGTCAAAGGTCATGACAGAGGGCTTGGTGCTTCTATCGACTGAAGGGGGATTACTTGACCTGAAACAGGGTTCGCATTCAGTAGAGGAGGCACATTAGAGACATTCTGTACAGAACCTGCATCTGGGACTTGTGCTAACTTCGCAGATCTGCTGTTGGTGGTGTTGTTGCTGTTGTTGTTGTTGTTGTTGTTGTTGTTAATACCTCACTCAATCTTCCAACTATATGACAGCAATTTAAAAAACATTTTAAAAAGTCTGGGCAAGATATCCAGTGATTGACGTCACAAGCATCAATCAATGCAATTGGGATATCATGTTCAGGCATCAACCAAATCAGTGTTACAACAAACATGGTCTGAACTGGACATGTCTCCCAAGAGGGCAAGAATAAGATGCAGGGATTTATATTCTTACCCAGAATCCCCAACAGTTGGTCTGTATAGATGCATCTTTCTACATGTGTTTTTACAATTGCTGAGATGAAAAAACGTTGAGAGAAGGGTACTAACTGAACCTAAGGTCTGTCATCACTGGTGATTGAGTGATTAAGGATAGTTTTCCGCCACTTTTAGCATTATTCCAGCAAAATCATGCAGTATCAGGGAACACCAGAAATGGGCTTCATACACTATGACAGGGCGGTAGGGTAGCCTAGTGGTTAAAGCGTTCGCTCATCATGCCGAAGACCCGGGTTCGATTCCCCACATGGGTACAATGTGTGAAGCCCATTTCTGGTGTCCCCCGCCGTGATATTGCTGGAATATTGCTAAGAAGCGGCATAAAACCATACTCACTCACTCACTCACTCATACACTATGACGAGAAAACACTTTATATGATGGTCCCTCAAGACACTTGGCATTACCTGTATGCCACATGGACTGAGTGAATGAATACTGGACAGCCACTTCGCAACTATGCATCTTGTTAGCCAGTTGGTTTATGGATATTTTATGTCCGTTTTCTTTACTTCTTTCTGCAAGCTTACATCATCATCATGACCTATAACGGGGTAGAACTAAATGCTCTTCTCGTTGCCCCCTAAAATCACTGACTTTGATTTCTTGCATGGTCGAAATGAAAGTATTGAATGAAACAGATAGAATGAAAGTATATCTCACTTATTGAAAACAAACCATCTACACATCTTACTCATTATCACTGATTGCCATCTTCTTCAGTTCTCTGTCGGGTATACCCGGTACTGACGAAGGTCCCACAATCTGGTCGTATGAAGGCGGGGCAGAAGGCAGGGTGGTGGATGCAACCCCGGGACTACTGATGTCATTCAAGCCAAACTGACTGTCCAGTCCAGGATCTGTTGCCGGTACTATTGCCGGTACTGTTGCCACGGCAACCCTGGGCTGCTGCCGGTCCTGATCCTGCTGTGCACGACTCTGCAGCTCTCTGTAACGTTCCTCCTGTTCCCGGCGCCATTTTTCATCAGCTTCCTTGGCCTTGAGTGCTTTGATGGCTGCCTGCTCCTGCTGCACTCGTTCCTCCTCCTCTCTCTGAGTTGGGCCTCCTGTTCCAACGCTTCCTGTCGCTTACGCTGCAACACAGACCATGGTTTTAGCGAACTTTAGGATACAATGGATAACACCTGTTTATCACCTTTCCTATTTAAGTTCATTCATTTACATGTTTGTGTTCCAAGGCCTGTCATTTTCGCAAGGGAGATAACTTCACACTGGTGTAATAGTCACTTTTTACTTATAACATCTATAAGGAACCAAACCAGGGCAATTGTTTTTTCTTTATCAAAACCTACCCATCAAAGCCAAACTTGGCCAGATGGCCCCAAGGTACTCCTGTCTGCCCATACATGGTGATGTTTCATGTCCACCACCTATGTGTGGCTATCCTCCTTCACTCAACAGACATGAAGAAGTACTCTAACATTAAACCAAACTTTCTATGTGTATCCTCTAGATACAAAATCTACATAGTGTGCTTCATACAATACTATTGGTATACGGCTGTACGTACCTCAGCAGCCTGCCTTTCCCTCTCCTGGGCAGTGTATCTCGTCTTCAATTTACTCTTGATTTCTTCCGCAAGAGGAAACACATGCTTCAGTTTCTGTAAAAGTATGACAACACAATTTGTTCATTTCAGGAACTGGATCCAGCTTCAAAATGTTTACTGTGACTTGTTGTATTTCCTCTTTATGACAAAATGGGGATTGTGACGCTGGAACATAGCAAAACCAATTTGCTTGAGGTTGACAGATAATATATAGCAAAACAAAACATAAAAACAGCTGCATTTGTGTCATTTTCTAGGTGAGGCTGAATACTTCTTGAACGTCCCTCATAGGGAGTGAATTTGGGGATTATTTTCAGTCTGCAAAATGACAGCTGTATCACAGCCACATGAAAATAAGCCAAGTCAACCAGACTAACCATTGTTTGATATGATCAACATCCTTCACTGTAAAAGTATGATCTTGAACAAGGGAGGTAATTATAAGGATATAATCTCTTTATTACAACAAGATTGGACAGATGGGTGGATAAATGACAGGCAGACTTGAAATGACTAGTTTCAAGTGAATTATGCCTTACCCGTTTTAATTCCACAAGTTCTGTGTGGGGAGCAGACTTGTAATCTGGATGTCTAGGTAACTTCTCTATAAATAATCTGTAAAGCACATTGTAAATACATCAATTAGTAAACCTTTAAGGATTACAACATATTTATTGTTTGTAATGACATATCAGAGCTAAGTCTGTCCAATTCACTGATGCAGGGGCTGAGATGAGGGCATACACAGTGTGTATAACACATGCAGACAATAAGTTTTCATCATTGTCCCAACATTTAACAATCTTTAGCATCACAGAAAATACAAAGGAAATTGTAATCATCAGTAAAATTTCTTTTCCTGTTAATTCACATGCTAAAGCTACATTGTACACTTCTTAACTGCATAATTTACGGGACCAAAATAAATCTTTTTCTCAAAACATGTGAGGGTGAGGTGAAATTGGGTTTAACGTTGTACTTGAGAACTCAAAACATGTAGTCAAGGAGGGTGGTGCACATCATATTAAAGTGTACACTATACAGAAGAACATAGAGTAGCCTGCATACTGACTGGGACGGTACAACTTCAGGATGTCACAGGATGTCACTTGATGATTACACAACCAATTTGAAACTAAAGTGATATTGATGCTTTCATATGGAACCGGGTTTTTTTTTTTCAAGAGAAAATATTTTATAACAAAATGGTCAACAAACTATACATGAAATACACCGGGACAGTATCTGACCTGGTAAACTAAATGACTGAGTGAGTGGCACTATGACCATGCTACCTACAACTGTCCTTGCACAGCATCAACAGTGATCAGCCATCAAATCCACTGTTTCAGTCACAGGTGGTTATTGTGGTTTGACACCTCTAATTGTATCTACAGACCAATTAGAATTGAGATAATTCCTGATTCATGGTGAATTTTTTGATGATTTACTTTGCTCAAGGATCATGTATACACAGGGCTGAGACAAACCACCTGTCTGTGAGTCTGTACAATGAGTCACACTCACGTTATGTACTTGGAGTACAGGATAAAGGCACTCTCCAGGTTCCCCTCATCCAAGTATATATTTGCCATTCTGATCATCTCTCGACCTGAGCGAAGATAGAGTTTGGGTGATATTGCCTTGTCCACATCGACCTTGGAGCCATAATCACAGAGAGCTCGGACACGAGCTGCTGGTTCGTGGATGTGTGTGAACATCTGTACGGCCATCAGCTCCTGTAGTAAACAGACATATACATGTTGGAAATACTTAAGGGACATATCTGGATCACCTCAGATGCCAATATTCAGCCCCAAGTCTGCAACAAAAGTTAGTTACCATTCAAAAACCAGAAATAGAAATTTCCAACTCCTCATACATGTATTTGTGTAATGCTATTGTTTGTAGATGTTAGGGCAGGAACGGGCCAAATTTTCCACCTGGGTACCCACCCCTATTACCCAACCCTGCCAGGATACCTGTTATGTTAATTCCTGACATCAAATTTGTAAGAAATAGCAATATTAACTTCAGCTTGGAGGCTAAACTTTCATGTTTTTCAATATTTTAACCATGTATTATATTCAAAATAAGTGACTGTAATTATGTCTAAATCTTCAAAGACAATACACCTTTTAATAATGAAAGAATAACATATTACATTGTTTAATTTATTAGTCACATGATCATAACGGGTCCGGGTATTGAGACGGGAACCCGGGTTCAACGCATTACCCATGATTACCCACCCATCCCAGGTATCCAGGTTACCCATCCAAGCCCTAGTAGAGGTCATTTGTATATTACTGGTTACAGGATCAGTGATGATACCTGTGTTTCACTCAGTTTAAGAAAGAAAGAATTTCTTTTATAAATTGAAATCTTGAACATAAAGAATTTATTTACAATAAAACCCTGTACTTTTCTTCCCAAATAATGGAAAACAACCCCAGACAGTATATCAATTTATGTAGTGGAACAGTTTATGCAAATTTTCCACTCATATTCACTATTCAGGCATCTGTGTAAATATTTTGGTATAAACAGCTGAAGTGAAACTGTTGTTTTTAATATGTTAATTATCTTTGAATGTAAAATAAAAGCACATTTATCATGGTGGTGGCATCAGGTCTGGCTTACAATGGATGGGCCACAAATTAGTCAAAACTTGGCAACATTAACTTTAAATATTTACGTCCTGCCCCAAACTGAAATATTACCACAGTTACCTCGACTATGTTTGGAATATTCATCTTTTTGCCCATCAGCAAATGCAAACCAGTTGGATGAGATGGTAATGTGAATATTATTATTAAATACATTTTGTCATCACAGGAAATCTGCAAAACACTGGAACTTTTGAACAGAAAATATTATTTTTGCAAAAATAAACTTTAAAAATTGACTTGAAAATATTTGGAATATGGTCAAAGTTTTGACAAATAAATTAACAATGCCTTCAACAAACAATGGGTCACTACAATCATTTGTTAACAATTAAATATGTTGGTATGTTACAAGACTACAATTCACAGAAAAGAATGCAACATACTTTATAACGGGGATCTCTGCCATTACCATACATACACTATACACCATAATAACATAAAAGAAACCAGCATGCCAATGTTAATGTCAATAGACAGTGTTAGACACAAAATATTTATCTCAACACAGCCTAAACAAGTTGAACAACAAGTTTCATTTTCATCATGTTTTGTTATAGATAAAACTAGTACTAATGAGAGAGAATGTATAAGTCCATGACCCAAAATGCATACCAGTTGTTTACTGACAGTACTGTACAAGAAAAGGTCATACAATGAAAGTGTTTATCAAAGACACTGAAAAGACACTGAAAACACTACAAAGCAGCAAATCTACTATATTTGAAAAAAATAGCAGTTAATGAGACATGCTAAAACATAACTGATGGTAACCATTCTGATGATTGTACAAACTAACAATGGAAACAGTAGCAGGGTTAACAACATCATGAGCCAAATGTAGGGTTATGTGTCAACATCAGGGAAATACTGATAGACGTTGTGCAATAAAGATATTTTACCAAATAACATAAATAACAGGCCGATTTAAAAACGAACACATGCAAATATTTGTTCACATATTTCCCCGGCACCATCCAACACCAGGTCAAATATGTTTTCTGTCAACTACGTATAAATCCTACCCCTAAAATCTCTGTGAACTTGTGAAACCTATTAAAATGGTTCTCGGTAAACAAGCAGGTAATGTGTGACACTGGCAAGCTGTTCAGAAGCATAAAAACATTACTCACGTGAGTCATTTTCTAAAGAAATCATATGAGGATGACAGTGACAGCTGCGGACTGCCGGACAAAATCCAGCTGTGTTCATCGAAAATATGACATCACCAAAATACCAATCGGTTCTAAAATTAAATATGAAATACCTCTAAATTATATACCGATGTCACTGAGTGACACGTCTGTTCTCTTTCACCTCAAAAGCGTAAATTCGATAAGCCTTCTCGGTTCATGTAAACACGGCAGCCATCTTGAACTTTAATACTTCCGGACAGACAACGTGGTGTCCTAATAAATGGCTTGTTCATAATTAGACTTTAGTAATTCATATCATGATATCGATTTGATAATAAACCAAATATATTCAATTATTTATGTAATAATTTGTTTTTAAGAATTGAATATGACAGTGAATAATGGTTGAAAAACATATCAGCCGGTACCTCACGTAAATATTCTTCATCCGATATTTTGCTTGCCTATAAAATTTAGTTACACAAGCCAGTTTGACAAACTGTAGCTTAAGAAAAAATGAGGGAATATTTTATTGAAAGCTCACGTGTTGGTAATTTATAATATAATTCAGAATTAAAACAGTAATCTTTTCTATATTTTCGCTATCAAAAAATACGTCAAATTCACTTAAGTGTAGAGCTGAAATTGTTGATAAAAGCATTTAGCAGTTGGCAACTAGGTTTTGCTTAAAAGTGAATTCATCGGGGTTTTAACGGACCTTCACGGAGTTACATCTTACTATTTGTACAATAGACATGAACAATTTAAGTCCCTTCAAAATGACCATGAATCAGTCGTTCACTGTTTGTTTCATATACTAGTATATTATTAATATTATTAATATACATAGATATATTATTGAAAACACATTTGAAGTGTATGTACGCTAAAAGGTGTAATCCCAAATAAAACATATGGCACATGTATCTAAGCTGCAGTACATTGTAAACTTTCAGGAATTTGATCGGATGAAACATTTCACAGAGCATAATTAACATTCCATTCTTAAATGGCTGACTCTGTGTGCTGGCGATTAGGTGCCTGACGTGGGTTCGAATCCCGGATGATAAATATAAGAATATGTAATTGTTATCCCAAATTTAACCTGTGTTAATCTGACTGATTTCTAAATGGCATTGCGTACCTATCGTTCTTCATCTTGGTTGCAGGAGATATTGATTGGAGGGCGGGTGTGTGTGTGTGGGTTGTTGTTGTTGTTGTTACTCATTACTCATTACTTACTTTTACATAAACAGGAGATGGAAGGTAGGGAAATGGCGGAAGCAAAATATGATACAGTAGTGTGCGTGATTTGGGGAATTACCAGGGGTCTGCTGACAAAGGAGAAACTATTCAATGGGTTACTCCTCCATTAACTGTCCCATCTTGAGAGTTATTATTGGTTATAGACAGTTGGGTTTTAGGATACCGAATAGGTTTTCACTATAACGATGTTCTATGGGACTCGTAGTTATGGGGGCGGTGGGGTAGTGTAGTGGTTAAAGCGTTGGCTCGTCATGCCGAAGACACGGGTTCGAATCCCCACATGGGTACAATGTGTGAAGCCCATTTCTGGTGTACCCCGCCGTGATGTTGCTGGAATATTGCTAAAAGCGGCGTAAAACCAAACTCAGTCAGTCAGTCGTAGTTATGAAGGCAATGCAATGATCATCAGTGAAACGCGTCTCTTAACTGTTTTCAGCTTTAAAGGCTTAGATCGGGTATTTCATTGAACTTGATAAATATGAGCAATAAAGACTTCATTCCCTCAATATTTCTGTACGGTACAAATGCGTGTACTTTTCCAAGAACGAATGAGTGAGTGAGTTTAGTTTTACGGCGCTTTTCTTTTAGCAATCGTCCAGGAATATCACGGCGGGGGACATCAAAAATGGACTTCACACATTGTACCCATGTGATGAATCGAACCCGGGTCTTCGGCGTGACGAGCGAACGCTTTAACAACTAAACTACCCAACAGCCCCTCCAAGAACGAAAGTACGCCATGCATCCTCTCCACTGACAGGCACCATCAATCGTGACGTCATCGCATGGAAGGTAGACAGTATGTCAGCTGCATATATGATACATAACTGCTTGCTTCTCGTGCGTGGTGATCAGGAATACGGTGACATTATATGAATAAAACCCTATCCTGCCAGTCATTCAGTAATAAACAGCAACAGAGCTGACAATACGGGGTATAAGCCTCGATCTGTTGGGTAGGAATGGACAGCATCACAGGGATGCTAGCTGCGGTTATATACGAGGTGAACGAGTTAATCATATTCAATACATTGATGACTTTTTCGATTACAATAATACCGTATACGTATTTTCACCGTACTGAGTGCTATGATAGCCCTTGATGACAAGAATAGGCAATAAATATTTAAGTTCCACTTCTGTTCAACATTGATATTAGGCACTGTACATGAAAATAAGATAACAAAACGATTCCGTATTTGAATAAATTATGAGGAACACAAAAGTCTTCAAGAATGAAAACAGATTAAAATGCTTCAATACGTACATGTATAACATTTCCTATCACAGGCTGAGTATGAAAAGGCAGGGTTTAGCAGATGAAAGACATATCTGAATCTTGTAAATTGGAAATTATTTCATTTTGACATATGTCATTAATATTAGGACATTAGGTAACAACGTTATATTCAAGGTAATGCTGATGCTTCAGTCAATGTCGTTAGACGTTATGTTTTAGTATAATGTAAATATTATATGTAAAATATGAAATACATTGCTCTTGTACTACAAGCCGTGAGTCATGGAGAAGCTCTGCTCTGGAGTTTTAAGAAGTTATTTTATTTTATTTTAAGTTTAAGTCATACTGGGGAAATTGTTCCGAAGAATTAAAAAGAAATCAGTTGAAACAGAATGAAAGGGCATGAAAGCAACACCTGTTAAAACAACTCCAATTGCGAGCCTTGACTTTGAACAGTATTTCAAAAATGTGTCACATCAAGTCAGATGACAATGTGGCTGGATTCTCTATAGGGTCATACGTGCAGACCGAGACACTTTTTCGGATAAACTGTGAACCCCATACTAAATGCGCCAAACCCATAAATTCAAACAAAAAGAAGTGTGTGGCTTAATGGCTTTAAATAAACGACCAGCAATTGTAACAAACGGTATATTGTTGTTGAGTTGTTTGAAAAAGAGAATTTCAAACAACAGCGTGTATCCTTGGGCTGCGCGGAAGGTTAATCGTTCTTAATTTGTGCTGGGTTACTTAGTACGGTTGTCCTTCAAACGCTAACAGTGCAAGTTGGGACTGCTTGCTTGTTTATTTATCTCCGACAACGCTTCCTCGATCAATGTGTTGAATTAGTCCTTCCGAGGTGACGTTGTGTGTGATTCGCTTCACACCCACGCCGAGTTGGTGTGTCTGAAACATGGAATGTCCGCACCAAATGAAGTGAGACCTACATGAATCTCACAGAACTCGTTCTATTATTGAACCTGAAGGAATGTTATCGACCTTGTGTACTCTAATGTCCTTATGCCGCTTCTCTCGAAATACGAAATACGTGCACCTCGATATAGTTTCAGTCACTCCGGGGACTTTGAATATATGGGCAGTAGTCTGTCATACAGACCCTGAAACAAATATATCCAAGAAAGACCAAGTCTAGAATATGTGGCAAGTCTAGATTTCCACAGTCTGAAAATTAAGGAAGTCTCAGGCCTCCTTTTCATTATATTATATTTTTTATACTATGAACTGTATTTTTTCTCAGTAAAATAGGCTCATTTCAGAGACTAGTTGTTAGTCTATATGGACAGGAAACAGTTGAGGCACGTGTACCTGAAGTTATTTTTTTTGCTTGCACTCGTGCCATCATAACAATTCTATAAATACTTGTAAACTAAGAAAATAAGCAAACTTTTTATTTCATATTTTAATATCAACATCCTTGTTAACTATGGACTGCGCATGTAAACCAATTTATCACTGAAACACCTGTTCTCCCTCATCACTTAGTAGGGAAACAGTTAATTGGTTATACACTCTTCAGTGGGTTACAGGTGTTAATTACCTGTAATTAGGTGTGAATGTAGCAGTGACAGGTAGTGTCTGTTCAGTCTGATTGGGGTGTATGCCACCTTTGGCAGAGTATGATTATGCAACTCCATGTGTATAACAGTTTCGTGAGAAAGCACCGGCGCATCCTTTGAGAGAGTGTATAGTTTTACACCGCTTTATTAGTTGACCAAGAGCGCATGCATAATACAAATACCGTACTTCCTCTAATAAACGCCATGTCTCTAATACATATGCCACATGTTTACAATAGAGTTTTCAAATAAAATACCAGGGGAGAATCTGTAAGTATTCCGTTGAAACGCTGGGTCTCCAATAAGCGCCGGCACCTATTAAGCGCCTTGTGTGTGAGTTTGCAGAATTAATAAGCCCCCGGGCACTTATTACTGGAAATACGGTATGCTTCATACATATTGTACTCATGTGGGGAATCGAACCCGGGCCTTGGCATGATGAGCAAACGCTTTTACAACAAGGATTCCATCGCTTCTGGATCCCGATCCACCGAGCGTTCATATCATTATTGGATATTATACCTATACAGTTTATTAGAGGCTTGTGAATATCGTAGTGCAACGAATGCTTCGTGGATCAGGCCCCTGAAGCTTATGTAGCGGATGTGAACAAATCGTAACAAAATGGACATACATTACATTAATCAAAATATTAAAAAACGCATATTAAAAGCCCAAACAAGAACAAATTCAAAACGAAAGTCATATAAAAAACCCAAACAATCAGACATGTCAGACAGACATGATTATTTTACTTTAGGGTGTATAAATCCACATAACAGTACATAAATCTCATGTATTGTTTAGTGTTGTTACAGTCTGTGCTTATAATGCAAAACGAATGGTAATTTATTCAAACAACATCCGTGAGACAAATTACACAGGTATGCATTTCCCCTCTTCACCGCTTGCCAATAAAATTGGTTTGTCTCGAGGAACGTGATTGGCTGAATGGTTCCAAATTCCTTGACCTTCCTCGAAATTGCAGAGAAAACAAAATTGTTTGCTGTGTCGGGATATCTGTTCTCCGTGTTTATACAGGAATACTGACTTTCCTCGGAATAATTTATTCAAAAGGTAAGCGGGTATGATATCACATAGTCCTTGTTAGCTTTGGCGTCAGTCTATATCGTGTTGTTAAGGAAGACACAAACACAAAATGGTTAAATGTAGTGACACCTGCACTGGGCGAACATCATGCAACATGCCCAAGCAGTTGCATGTATGGAGGGAAACTCGTCTGCCTTGGCGTACACTCATGGTATTTATGAGAAATTGACAAAACTGAATCCGACAGTTTAGTAATATTAATTTTGTAATATATAATCGAATTATGACGCGCATGTTTGTGCAAACTGCATTTTGTTACGGCGGTAAATAATTTGATTGTGTGATTCTTTGAATTTGTCTTCCCAAGCTGCCACCAATGAATGTTATTCTGTCGCTTCTTCTGGAAATATGTTGAGAATAAGTTACCCAGTGAATTATGCATAAGCTTTCAATTGATTTTGTTTTACATGTTTTCAAATAAATTCGTTAATTTATTAACAGCTGCTGACATATTTTGGTGCAGGGACTGTTACCGTTTGGTTGGATAAAAACATCGAATGTTTCGAGAAATGTCAGTTTTATGCAATAATTTAGGTAGAAATTAATACTGGTCTGCTTGACTCAAATGCCAAATTTAGTAATGTTGTTAGGTTGGTTTGATATCTGTGTAGGCTACACTAGTTGACTTTCCAGGTTTATTGATTGTTGGATATTAGATTATGCGTTATGTATAAGTGACTTGAATGTCTACAAGCATGTTAAACTGAGATAGATGTTTTGATTGATTGTGACAACACATGTTTTGACCAGATAATCCTAGGAGTTGTAGAATGTGTTGAGTTTACATGTTGCAGCAGGTGCCATACACAGACATTTGTCCTGTTGGCCTTAGCACTGTTTTTAGATGCAGTACACCAGTCTTTCGCCGTGACTGGTATAGTGACATGTAATTTAATTTTAAGACCCCAACCAGTCTAGAAGATAAAAATAGTCCAGTCTAACGAGTTTTTATTGGCATTAGAAATGTATAAACAAACACTAACACAGAAATGGTTTGTGTTTTTAAAAGTTTCATATGACTATCTGTTACTCTTACAATGCACTGATGTGTACATTTGTGGAAATATACACATACCTAGGTAGATAGGAAATGTTTTCATACCATAGCTCTATTGTGGCTGTGCACAGGAAATTTCAGTACAATGAAATTGTCCATGTATAACTATTTGTCATGGCTGTTGCCACCTTTCTATAAGATCTTGTTCGTAGAACTATTTTGTTTATATTAAACTTTCATCTTCGACCATCAGTTTGTGACATTTTTTTTGTATCATGTCTTACTGTGGCAATACATATATGTATTTCATTACTTGTGAATAAGTATATTATCAGTCATTTACATCATATGATAATTTCTAAAGCTAGAAATGTCCTCTGTATTACTAAAGTATGCCGTGAAACTCCAGCTGTTTCAGCATATATTCAGCCAAGCAGTTGTTGCAGAATATTAGATATGCAACTTTTCAAAATCAATCTTCGTTAATGGACACTTTTTTATTGAAATATAAATCTACTTGCGAAAGACACATTCCCCAAACAGGCTTCAAACGTTTGCATTTGAAAAGCGTCACCGAATATTATGATTATACCATCTGCTTATGATTGACTTGATTTGTGGAAGGGTGAGTGGGTGATGGTCTCCTACCTTCATTTACCTTATGAATAGACAGGAAGTAGTCCTGTAATGTATATATGTAAGTAAGATAGACGTTCTAATCCATAATACTCGTCATCATATCATCGTATGTGCATATATGTGGTGTGTGGAATGTCAGTGACATTGATATGCATCAAGAGTTTCTACCTGTATATCAACTATTTATTCATAGTAAGACTCCAATTAATGTCATGCTTCACAGATTTTCCAAGCCAGTGAATCGAAAACAAAGAACAGAAAGTCAGGCTTGACTGAATCAATGTCACACAAAAGTAGCTCTCTCAGTTGTCTGTAGACAAAGACTGCTTGTTTTTTGTTCCTTCTTAAGAGATCATCAGTTCTCTTAAACTAACAATCAGGAGTCGTCATCATTGCTTCAATGTTTTAAGGGGTCTCTGTATTCAAATACCACAGAAACAAGTCTAAAGGATACGTGTGGATACAAAAACAACCCCAAAACACGACCGAAACTTTTCATTTTGAAATAAACCTTCAATAGTTAACAATAGTTTGTGCCCATGTACAATTTTCAGCAGTATCATGTAATTCATTTGACCACAATATTAAATCAAATATGTATGGGGTCATTACATTTCATTAATCAGTTTGTTAGGTATTGTTATATTACAGCTGGCAGCTGAAGGGACACGAAAGATGAACTCAAGCAGAAAATGTTTTTTTGTATACAGTTAAAGGTATTAATATTATTCCTTCACCAACTGTGTATGCTGTGTATAGCATATATAACAGATATATTTACTGAGACTACCAGGGTGAGCCTGAATGGAAACATGTCTTGGTCAAGCAAGTGGCATTTTGGTAGTGGTGTTATTTGGATACATGCGGAAATTCATTTATCCAGACAATATTTGAGAAAACACAGCAAACCTGACCTCCCAATCGCATTATTCGCATCTTTCGACAAGCTTGGATTGCTGAAAAAAATTCTAACCTTGATCTTCTCAGGTTTTTGTACAGATGCTAGTCCCTTTATCAAGAATCCTCTTTTTCAATTACATACCTTTTTGGTATCACGCCTTGTACAGCTAATTCATTGAGGAGAATTTTGTTGCACAATATAATACACAATGTGATGGTACTTCAAAGCAGAAAAGTAACATAAAGTTCCATACATCTGGTGCAAGGTTTTCACAAAACATATGGGGTTATGTGTCCTTTAGATGAAATTGAAACTTTGATGTTTGGTGCACAGAATGAAAAACATAATTGAAATATGTTTAATTCAGTAGTAATAGACCAAAAAGATGTATTTTGTTGTTGAAAGAATATTCCAATTAAGAGCTTAAAATTAATGCTGTTCCCTGTCATTCCACGACAGCCATGAGGCTATAATTGCTATATTAAAAATAGCTGGGGATGACACGAGTGGCAAGGTTTCACCAGTAACTGGCTGAAGATACTGTGACCAGGGATTTTACAGGAAGTCCATGAGACTAAAAGTAATAGTAATACTTTTGGAGGTTCAAGACATGAACAATGTGTTCAAGACCTTGTGTTTAGACATGAACCTTGTGTTCCAGACATGAACCTTGTGTTTAGACATGAACCTTGTGTTGCAGACATGAACCTTGTGTTTAGACATGAACCTTGTGTTCAGACATGAACCTTGTGTTCCAGACATGAACCTTGTGTTTAGACATGAACCTTGTGTTACAGACATGAACCTTGTGTTTAGACATGAACCTTGTGTTTAGACATGAACCTTGTGTTACAGACATGAACCTTGTGTTTAGACATGAACCTTGTGTTCCAGACATGAACCTTGTGTTACAGACATGAACCTTGTGTTCCAGACATGAACCTTGTGTTTAGACATGAACCTTGTGTTTAGACATGAACCTTGTGTTCAGACATGAACCTTGTATTACAGACATGAACCGTGTGTTCAGACATGAACCTTGTGTTCCAGACATGAACCGTGTGTTCAGACATGAACCTTGTGTTCAGACATGAACTTTGTGTTCAAGACATGAATATTCTGTTCAAGACATGAATATTGTGTTCAGACATAACATTGTGTTTCAGACAGGTGACATGACACGTTTCTCTAAAAATGTAGTCTGTCAAACAGACTGATGCACAGTGGAATTGAAAACTAAACTAACTAAAATTAAAGTATCGAAATATGCTATTTGGGGAACTAAACGTGACTCTCTTGATTGAACTGATGAAATAATTCAAACAATACAAATGGGGAACTAAACGTGAATCTCTTATAACAAATGCTAATGAGGCAAGAAACTTAATGTGATACCTTAAATTCGATTATCTACACTATCTAGCTCTATTGCAGATTAAGTCTACTATCTACAGTATCTAGCTCTATAGCAGCTAGCTATATGGAACTTCTATTTCGATGCACTAATACATTCTTTATATCAGTCTATCTAAATCCTATTTTGACGAGCTGTCACCCAACTCAAGAAACAACCGAACTCAAAGGAAACCTGAACTCAACTGACGTCTAAACTCAATTAACGTCTTAACCCAAGCATAACCTGTACACAACTGACCGTTTCCCACGTGGTCAAGAGCACGTGGTCTGACCGCACGTGGAAAGTCATGCTTCTCGGTGAGCCGCGAAGCATGGTGCGTTTACGCGATCTGTTCCACTGTTTTGTCTTCAGACCACAGACCCTGAAGCAAACATATCCAAGAAAGGCCACATTATTCTAGAAAAGTGGCAAGTCTAGATTTCCACATGAAGAAAGTCTCAGGGCTCCTTTTCATTATATTTTATTTTGTTTATTCATTTCAGAGACTAGTTGTTAGTCTACTAAAAAATGTATCTAGTGGTTGAAATGTTCATTTGTCTTGTCAAATACCCAGTTACATTCCTCACATTGGTGCAATGTTTGAATCCCTGTAAAAGTATGGTGCCCAATTGATCTGACATTACTGAAACATTTGCTGGACATGGCAAAATTCATGCTCAGACACGTTTAGAAGCCATTAATGGGGGTTGTAGTGATAGACTGATGAAAACCAGCCACCCACCCTCTGAACTATGAGGATATACCTTCCGGTTTTGTGTATCGCACAATGTTTAATTTTGATTAAGATTTATGATTGAGACAGACCTACTTCACTTCCCCCATGCTTGGATCATTTGTATCATTCTCAGTTTGTATGTGTGTTGGACAAGGAAATCTTTGTACAGTGAAACTTACACAGGGCTCCAGATAATATTTCAACATCAGGAGCACGTATTCCTTATTTTTTCAGTATAGGAGTACTGGAAAAACTTAAAGAGTACATTTAGAGTACTGAATGGAATTTAATGGCGTAT